AAAATAAAAAATTATTTTTATTAAATCTATATATATTCTGATACTTTTATAGAAGTGAAGATATTTTTAATTACATATCCTTAAACATTTAGTAACAATATTTACTATCCATTTGCCACTATAAAACAAATGAAAAGATAGGTTATTTGATTCCTAGACGATCTATTTTTTTTTTTTTTTTTTTGGAAAAAGACAAATTTTCTATTAGACGTTAGATGACATGTACAATTTTCTCCCAGATATACTTAGAGAATTACATCTTTTAGATTTTTAATCTAAAAAAATTAACTATATCATTATATACAATCTATCTATTTCATTTTAGTAAATTAGTAGAATTGTTTTTTTTAGTAATATCTCGGTATCTGATAATTACATTTGACCTCAACTAATTCAGAATCGAGTTATGTCAGATTCAATTATGAAAAACTCTCTAAGTACTTATTTTTTCATTTATAAGTCGAATTCAAGATTTTATTTAAGGAGAATCAAACTCCTTTTATTCGGATTAACATGTTATTGGTATGAGTAGAATTATATAACTGAATAAAATTACAATATATATATATTTATGTTGATTATACAACCAAAAAATAATTTTTTTAAATTTTTTATCCTATTTTATTTACATATTATACCATTTAAATTCAAAATCACTTATTTTTAATAAAAAAATTATGACTAAATCACTTAAATAATTAATAATTACAACACATTTTTTAAATTAATGAATAAAACAAACCACTTATATTGATAAATATTCACCTATCGAATAATTAATATTTTTAAAATCTTACACAGATCAAAGACAAATCATGGAACTCTTTTCATTTCTACAGTATTGAAGGATAATCTACTGCACAAAATAATAATTTCTCAGTATACTACACGACAAAAAAACTCCCCCAAACTTTTTTTTTGTCAGAAATATCTGCTCCTCCTGCAACAACAAACTACACAGTTGCTATAATTATTACCGGAAATAGCCGGTGGTCTCCCGGTTTCCTTTCCTCCATTTTTCCCGAAACCCTATGCTTGCACAAACTGTAACAGAGATTTTGTTTTGTTTTGTTTTGTTTTGAGTTCGCGTTTTGTGCGCTTGTACTTTGTATATGCGAGTGAGTGTAAGTGGGAGGGATGGGTGTAGTGTGCACCCCTTACCAGAACTCCCAGTCTCTTCACGTATCCAAGCTAACCTGCGCCAGTACCCTGCCATATTTTTTCATCTCAGAAGATCATGATAACCTTTCATTTCATCATCACCACACCATCTTTCTTTCACTGTTCTGAATTACTATTTCTCTCTTCTAAATTTCTCTCTCGCAATAGTGGTTATGGCGGAGGGTTTTGAGCCCTACCATGTCCCACAACAAAGCCGAAGAGATAAGCTTAGAATTGTGGCTCAAAACCACCCCTCCGTTGAACCACTTCAAGGCTGCTCCGGTTTACTCCCTCTCTACGATCCTTCCCTTCTCTCCTCTGATTTGTTAACCTGCGCCAACCCATCTGCTTCCCATGACTTCCTGCATCAGAAGAACAACCCAGTTTGTGTTGTGAAAGAAGAGGGTGTCAATTTTATGGGTTTTGTTTCTTCTTCTGCTCCGGCCAGTCACCTTTATTTGGATCCACAATCGTCTTTGCAGATGAACCCTAGCTCTATCCAGGTCATGAATGCAAACCCATTTCTATACGCACCTCAAAACCTAAGAGAGTTCGAGAACTCCTATAATAGCGGCGAGGTTGTCGTGTTTAAACCAGAATCTAGTACCTGTGGTCAAGGTTTATCTCTTTCTTTATCTTCCCACAATCCCCACCAAAACAATCTCCCTCTAGAGCTGAATTTACAGCGGTATGGTGGCGGGTATGTGGTTCCTGGCATTATAGGCGGCAGTGCTTCGACGTCCAACGAGGTATCCAGGAGTTCGGTTCCTCTGGGACCGTTCACCGGTTACGCGTCGATTTTGAGGGGATCGAGATTTTTGAAGTCGGCGCAGCAGTTATTAGAGGAATCATGCGACGTCGGGAGCGAAATTTACGCCGAGAAAATCGCTCCCGATTCTTCGTTGATGGATCCTCCCATGGAGAATTTGAGCGCTTCCGCAATTATGGACGATCCGGGTAGCATCGGCGACGGCGGCGAAAATAAAAGGAAGAAGTCTAGGCTACTCTCAATGCTTGAAGAGGTATGACTAATTTTTAGATCTCAGATTCCGACATTAAATTATGTTGCTTTTGTTTCTTAGTTTGGTTTTACTGAATTCTTATATTTGGATCCGTGTAATTGTCCTTCCTCTTGCATCTACCTTGGAGATTGTCCTTCATGAAACCCGAGCAATTTTGTCACTGTGTAAAGCCACACCATGGACATTATTAAATGATTCTTTAACATTAATGTTGTTAGGTCAGTCATTTTTATGAACCAGCATGCAATGTGGTGAGTGTTGCATGCATAATTTAGTGGGGATAAATAATTGAGATCTTCTTTGAGCTGTGTCTGAGAAAGAGATGAGAGTATCTGAGTTGTTTATTGCTTCCGGGATTGCACGGCTGTGAATTAGATTCTTCATTCTTGTGATCGAGGGATAGAGATGGCCTCGGTGATTGCAAAATTTGCCTTTTGGAAAAGTTGATAGGAGGGAATATATGCATCAGGACTAGTGTTACAAAGCACATGACAACCATGGAAAGAGTTGTTAGAGGTAAGAATGCCTTCGAGTTTGGGGCTTAATGTGCATAAAGTATGTAAAGGAATCGATTTGTAAAGATTTATATACCCTAAAAAAGTGCATCGAAGGCATAATGTCAGTCCAAACCTACTGAGGACAGAATGAGTAGATATCGAGATGTCTGGCCTTTCAGCTATGTTGGCCGGATAGGTCTAAATCTAAATTGTATAATATATGGTTTTTCATGTACTAATTAATTGGAGATTGATGAAGAAATAAAGGAAAATTATTTTTATATGTAATGATTCATTTCTAAGTACCTTGTAATTCTGAAAGGAAAATAATTAGTACACCCTCCAGGGGGTGTGCCAATCAGTATCTATTTTGAAGTTCTTAAAGAGTGTTAGTTTATAATTGAATGTTCTTGTGATTCTTGATTTGGGTTGCAAAATGAAACACCTATAATATTTAGAATTGATATTTATTAAGAATTGTACCTCATGGTATTGGGGGATTTGCTTTTGTTTTGGGCTTGAAGAGAAGTTAGTAATTGTATGCTTTGTTTACTTTTCTGTGAGAATTTTATGTGATTAAACCAGTAGAGCCAGAGTGCTTGTATAGGACTGCTTGTAATATAAGCGTATATGATATTTATAATCTAAAAGTTAAGGAATAATGTTTATGAGCCAATATTTTTTAGCTTGGGAATTGATTCATCTATTTTATTAGTTAGAACTAATAATTGCTGTCTTTGCATCTTATCTTGTTCCATTTTTGTTAGCACTTGAGTGTTTTATATATTAGATGGCAGTAGAGTCTTCTAACTTAATTCGTATTACTATTATTATTATTATTATTATTTTTTCTCTAAAGGACCAATGCAAACTTTGTATTGAATCATTTGAAGCTAACATTATTATTTGCATGGGATGTAGGAAGAAGAAACTAATGACTGCAGCCTGGACCAATATGCCATGAATTTGCATATAGGCTAACGAAAATTATGGTATTGATAAGGGATGAGGATAGGGTGCGCTATATTACATGCACTCTTTACTTTTCTCTAACAAATCCAGGGTATCAGACTTGTTGAATACTTTAAACTGTAATTGACATAATTCTTCTGTCCTTGATGCTGATAAAAAAAAAAAAAAAATCTTTTGTCCTTGAAAATAAAGGGAAAGCATTGAAAAACTTTAACCTGTGTTAGACCTTTGATTGCGATGCCATGTGACACGGTATGATATACAAACACATATAGATGTTTCTTGATTAATGGAAAGAACTTTTGATTGGTTTTGCACTTAAGCTAAGTATATGCATTACCAGTTAGAAGCTGATGTTACAATTAGTTATCTTAGTTTTCACTTCTAGGTTCAAACTGCAATCATTCTGCTCTTATATGTTAAAGGGAGGGCTTGAATTAGTATGACATGTATGATTGCCCCAGAGACTAAAGAAAAAGTTACCTTTTTAGGATTTTAGCTTCATAACCATGAAACTTGTTTCACAGCTGCAGTTCTCTATGTAGGCAGTAAAAATTGTTGATATGCTTGGCAAATGAAAACATAAAATAATTGCCATTGTAAGCAATAATGATGGCCTAATAGTATGTTTGGTTTGGGTGAGGGGAGGGGAGAGGTGAAAATTCCGCTATTTGGTTAGCAAAAATTTTGGAATGGAGGAGGCTTTATCCAAACGAGAGGAGGGAAGGGGAGGAAAATGGAAGGATGTCGTATCCTTCCATTCCCCTCTCCTGCCCTCTATTTCCCTCAAACCAAATGTACTGTAAGACTTACAACTAGCAGACTTCTGTCTGTCTCTGCTCCTTGTAAAAATTATTTGATTATTAGTTATGCATTTGCTGAAATGAAGATAAGATGTGAAGGAATAGTGAATGCATTATCATCTTATTGATTAGAATATGATCCTACTTTGGTCCTTCCTTAACTCATAATGTTTTCTCACGTACAGCTAGGTACATGTGTATTGCCATTATTAAAGAGTATAATAAATATTCTGTCCTCTCTCATGGTCTTTGTATTTCGGTATTAGAGGGCTGGATATATAATTTTACCATTTAAGGGGCAATCTTGGACTCCCATGTGGTGATCTAAGCAGATGTGTTAGTTATGGACTGCTCCTAGTGAGAAGACAAGAACATATCACTATTGGATTTGTGCTATTAGTTCTGATGGAATTTGATTTTACAGTGTCATTAATCAGTTTTCTGCTTCTTTCTGCAGCCTAACTTATCTTATTATTTTTTGGTCAACTAACTGTTTCTATGTGTAACAGGTTTACAAGAGGTACAAACAATACTACCAACAAATGCAGGCTGTAATAGCATCTTTTGAATATGTTTCTGGGCTAGGCAATGCTGCTCCATATGCAAACTTGGCTGTAAAAGCCATGTCTAAACATTTCAGGTGCTTGAAGAATGCAATCACTGACCAGCTTCAGTTCACCAATAAAGCTCAAGGTCAGATAAGCCCTGGGAAAGATAGTGAAGTTCTTAGGTTTGGAAGTAGTGCTGACAGAGCCCTGTATGGCCAGAGGCCCATCCACAACTCTGGCTACCTTGAGCAGCAACCTGTTTGGCGGCCCCAAAGGGGCCTTCCTGAACGTGCCGTAACAGTCCTTAGGGCTTGGTTATTCGAACACTTCTTACACCCGTAAGTACTTAAATTGAACTAATTCCTTGATATGCTCATTCTATTGCATGATGTTACTAACATCACACTTTTCTGTGTTTCAGCTATCCTACTGATACAGACAAGCTAATGTTGGCAAAACAAACTGGTCTATCACGTAGCCAGGTGTGCTATTTCTCACTCAATTTTTGTGATCTGCTAACAATCCAATCTAGTTATTATGAAGCAAGTTACGTTTAATTTTTGTTAACTGAAACAAGTTTCATAATCTTGCCCATATGCACAAATTCAGCTAGAAGTTTATTATACTCGGTTTTTGATGACATGCTTTTGGACTCTAGGTGTCTAATTGGTTTATCAATGCAAGAGTGAGGCTTTGGAAGCCAATGGTGGAAGAAATACACATGCTAGAAACAAGGCAAGCTCAGAAAACATCCCAAAAGGAGGACCAAAATGCCAACAAATCAAGCGATCATTTAACATCAGTGAATTCTTTCACTTCTGAGAATCCGTCTACATCGACTCATAGGGTACAAGACACCCCATCCAAACGTACTAGAAGTGAACTTCCAGACATACCGACAGGAAGTGAACCATTGAACTTGTCCTATAACAATTTGTCAAGTCAACCCCATGTTGGTGTTGGTGTAAGCATGGCAGGTGGAAGCAGTGGTGTTTCCCTGACTCTCGGTCTTCATCAGAATAACGGGATTGGCTTGTCAGAGCCCTTTCCCATCAATGCAGCTCAACGCTTCGGACTTGGCCTCGAGGTAAGTAGTGAGGGCTATGTAATAGGTGGTTTTGAAGCGCATAACCGGCATTTTGGAAGGGATGTTATGGGAGGACAGCTTTTGCATGATTTTGTTGGTTAAAAAGTGTTGAGATTAAGAGCTTTTCTGGTCATTATTGAATTGAATATATAGTTGTATTATATATTATACTAACAAATTAAGTTTCACATAGATGAAGTCTGTACGTCTTTCCAGAAATGCAAAGCTGAAAACAAGAGTAGTCGAAGGTTCATGTGCCATCAAATTGCGATGAAATAGTCTTTAGAAAGATTATCTTCGGAAATAATTGGTGTAAAATTGCTCTGTAAATTTATAATAATTTACTCTATGATTAGAAAACGTACATTTTGAGACTGGCCTTGGAATGTGCTTTTCTATGTGCTACTAATCAATTACCAAGGCCCATGCTCACCATATGATTTCTGATGGTTCGAGTCAATTTCCAAGATTGGAAGGACACAAAGGAAACGGTACTAACCAAACAATTTAATCGAATGATTTTGTAGTTTTGCGGTTCAGTTTTGTAGAGGCCGTATGTTTTATAACTATTAAAAAATGGGGTACCACTTCAATATTAGAGGTTACATTTTAGAATTTTTTATTTTTGGGGTAAAGAAGATAGAATATTAGATCATAAGGTTACTGTAGTTCCTGGCGTGTTGTATCAAACAGTTCTAGGAACACACATTTTCTAGAGCATCTAAATACAAAATATTGCTAAGATCAGAAGGACAACTGTCAAATACAAGAGGAGAATAATCCAGATGAGTCCCAAGCTTAGTAGGATAATCTGCCGAAGCATTAGCTTCACGCAAAAGATGATGGTGGACCTCCACCTCATGAAACTGGGCAAGCAACATCCCACAGTCAGAGATCAACGTTCCAAATGAGTGAAAACGACTGTTCCCAGTTTCAAGTAAAATAGCAGGAACCCTAAAGTCGGTTTCCGAAATGAGCTTGAAGAATCCTCTGTTAAGGGCAATATCTAACCCATCCCTAATGGCCCATATCTCAACTAGGAGACTGGTAGTATTTCCCACTCTCCAAGCAAACCCACACCTCCAGTGACCTAGATCATCCCTAAACACTCCTCCTGCACCTGCTTGTCCTAGATTAGACAAAGCAGATCTATCAGTATTAAGTTTAATAAACCCCAGAGGAGAAGGAGGATTCCATCCAATATAAGTGGTAGATGAGTGGGTATCATGACCAGAACTAGAATTCACAGGTCAATATATTCCCAAACTCAAAGAAGAATAAAATCTTTAGCAGCACGGAGAGATAAATCTCTATTGTGATGGACTAGCTAATTTCTAAAATACGAGAGAGCCCATAACGTGATAGGGAAAATAGTGCTCCAGCTTCTATTCCTTAAGGTCACAATTAGCTTTTAGCCAGTCATGAAAACTAAGGTCCAGGAACAGCTGGTTAATGGGAAAGGGTCTGATGATTGCCCTCAGTAAAGGGACAATCACAAAAAACACGAGAAACAGACTCAGGTCCACCCTGACATCTAGGGCAGATATTAGAATCAATCACATCTCAGTTATAAAGAGTATCACAGGAGAGGAGCACATTTTATAACTATTAATAACACTATTAAATGAAGGAGTACCACCTCTATATTTGACGTCAGGGCTCTTTATTAGTAGTTCACTTTTCTGTTAGGGGAATTGATATTCAATAACCTCAATAGTTATTACAAAGAAAAAACTAAAATAAAATTAGAATGTGTTGACATTTCAAATATTATGATTTTATGAATTTATTTGAATATTTTTTTATATATTTTTTTTTGTCTATTGATTTATGAGTGGTGATGTAAGGATAATTTTTTTATATTATTTTTTTATACAATTTACATATATCATTAAATAAGTAGATGTATTTAATATTGTAGATCCTAAATAAATTAAAAAACTCATTATTTACATGATATATAAGGTTATATAAGAAGGTGTTACAAAAAAAAATTATTTCTAAATCATTTTCCATTGATTTATTAAGGATTTTGGTCTTTTTATTATTATTGTTTGATATTTTAATTACCAAAATATTATGTTTTTCCTCAATCCCTTACTGAACATTTAACGTAAATCATAATAATAATAATAAGAGATGAGAGAGATGAATGAACCTCTTCCACGCCAGCTTTTAAAGTCAGCATTCTGGGGGCCTGGGCCAATTTTTGGAACTAAGAAGATAAAAAAACCCATATGTAAGTGGGCTCTTTTTCTCTATGGATTAAGGGTTTTATTGGCCCAATATGTGTAGCCTCAGAACTTTCAGGAACTTTGAAGTTACCTCCTCGAAGATTTCACATTTCAGCTTTGGTCTTCCAAAGTTTGAAATTTCCCTTGGTCGGACTTGTGAGAAAGGAAAGTGTTTATCACGTTCTGACCAAGAAAGTAGAGTATTTATCGGCTGTATGAATGTGGAAATTTAGGTTTGTATCCAATATCACATTCACATGTTGGTCCATATCAGCTTGGAGAATGGGAAAACTTTTGGTATTTACACCAATGTGGAAAATATGCGAGGAAGCACAGCAGCGTGCACCCAAGAAAAACAACAAAAATGGCGAAACATAACTATATACTTAGAAGTCCCCCTCAATCATGTTATGCAAAAGGACAATAATTCATCATTTCATTTCAATATATATATTTTATAATTTACATACCTTCAATACTAAGAAGAATGAAAAAAGGGTTTTCGAAGAGTCAACATTCAATTTAAAATAATATTTTTATTAACAGTTAAGTAACAAATTACTTGATTCAAATGTGATGAACTATTTTAATATTTGTTGACATTATTTATTTACTATAGTTATAATGAGTTGGTGTATATTAAATTAAAAAAATAATATAGAAATAATTTTTTATATAATTTGTATATGTTAAAATGAATAAATACATTTAATATTATTATAAGTTTTAAATAAATAAAAAGAGTTAATTATTTAAATAATATATAAAATTATTAAAAAATAATAAAATTTTCTTCTAAATTTTTTCTATTAATTTACATATTTTATTAAAA